TTTTCAGTATTTTATTGGGGAACTGTTTATGGTGATTCTTGTAAAATATCTTTATAAGAAAAGGGCCATAAAAGGATCCTTCTCAGTTGTATAAGGGCACTTCAAAAAGTTCATGGAAAAATAGAACTGAAAGATAACATGAACCTTTCCATGAACTTTTTGAAGTACCCTTGCGTAAGCTAATAAAATGTCCCAAGTTTTGCTGTTTTGTTAAATGTTCCTTATGTACATTTATGTGCATAGCTATTTTATTTTATTCTTCATTTGTTCACTATTAATTACCCAAAAAGTGTAATTAGACCTTTATGTTTAGCTGGAGAATAATAGCCTGTTATGATTTTTCAAATGTAATATTATGCATTAAACAAGCTAATGTGCGAGTTTAGATATAGACTGCCTATATTTACTTACACTAACCTAAACAGTAAACCTCTTACTTTAGTTACCTGGTACAAGGTCTCATGTATACATTACTTGTCTCCTGCCAATTTCCATAGGGATGCTATAAAAATGTTAATTCAGTCTACAAATCATATGAATATGTTCAGAAAAATTGAATTGTATATGTCAGTGTTATGTAGGCCTGTATGGCCTATTTATACAGGATGGATTTAAAATATAATGCTGAAACTATAGCAGAAAGTTTTTTTTTTTTCTGTTTATTTAGCTTTTTAAAATAAATACAATACTACTTTGCGGGCCACCCTTCAACAGCTGACAAAGGACAGTTATTGTACCAGAGTAAACCCATCTTTCTTTAGGATTTGGAGTAAGACTGCTTCTTGGAAAAACTCCGTGCTTCCATCAGCAGGAGACAAGTGAGAGTCCCTGGTCTGTTGTGCTGATGATGATACCTACTTGCACCCATACTTCTCTCACGGACAGCCTGTCCATCATTCCATGCCAGGGGCCATATGAACATATGAACTTACTAAGTCCTCATCCTTATCCATGGCAGTCAACACACAAAGACCAAGACTCCCAGGTGAACCCTAATCCACTAGATTCTAATCCACATATGACCCTGTTCATTGCCTTTTCTGACTCTATCTCCCACTTCTCCCCTAGTTACTAAAGCCCTGTTAGTATGCCTTTTGGAACTCAAGATCAAATCTCAGCAAAATCTCCTCTAAACTCAAATTTTTCCTCTAAAACATTCCTTTTACTTTGTGCTCTAAGCAAAATATCTATCCCCCGAGGATAGATGGTCGGTCCTCTCCAATGCCCTTTGCATCACTAGGGTACAAGGGTTTGCAAGGATTTCCCCCACTTAATACCCTCTACAATCCCAGGTTTTGAATTTCATGTCATTAAATTGACCTTGGTGCACGATCTACTTTACCAACCACACCCCACCCTCATATTATTCTTCAAAAATGTAAATCTTTGGCCCATTGTCATTAATTTTATTGCTGTTCCTCTCATAATTCTTAATGAATTCAAATTCATGGAATGGACTTTCAATATCCTGAACTCGCAGTTCCTTGACCTTTTCCCCTCTAATGTTCTCCATCCCCCTTAGCCACTCAATCATGTGGTCATTTCTTTGAACTTGTCATTACTAATAACTGCAACTGCTTCATAATCTCAATCTCAAATAGTGTACTAATATACCCAGTCTATCCAACCCACTCATTCCTACGCCATCCTGCAACTCCAACATTCCTCTTACCCTACCAGAACCTTCAATCTTTGGATACCAGCAGCATGTCACTATCTTCACCACCAACCAGCCTTAGTGACACAATACTCTGCCTTTGCTTCTTTCACATTTGAATGCTGGTGTGCTATAAGCTGAGGCCAATACTTGCAATAGTACAATAAATCATACCTTCCCTTGTCTTCTAAAAGGCTTTGCTTTGGCAATTTTCTCTACTTTTTTCTTAGTCATGTCTTTTTCTCTCTAGAGTGTCATTCCCATGCCTATTTAGGCATATACTTATTTCTCTCTTAAAATGATAAAACAAAATGAAACAAGACTCTTTTAATCCCATTTAAACTCCACTTTTGAGATTTCACCCTGCTTCTCCTTTAACACAGACATTGTTTTTAATCACTGTCTCCAATTTCTTTCTTCCCATTTTCTCTTTCTAATAAGTTCTTTACCCATGATACTCAACTGAATATGTTTTGCATAGCTTAACCCAATGGTCAGTCTTCAGTCCTGACTCAGTAGCATCATTTGACATAATTGGTCATTCTATTCTTCCTGAAATATTTGTTCTGCTCATCTAGCTAGGCTTTTCCTCTACTTCCTTGTAAGTCCTCTTCAATCTCAACTGCTGGTTGAGAAGGACTTTCTTATGTCCCCAAACTTTAAATATAGGAGAGCTACAGAGCTCCATCCCAAAACTTCTTCCTCGTTCTGTCTCCACTTATTCCCTGGATTATCTCCAATGATTTCATACTTTTAAATAGCATCTCCATGTTGATCATTCCAATTTAACTTTTTTACATAAACTCCAAACTTTATGTATCCAAAGGCCTACTTGCTATCCCACTTGAATGTTTAAGAGGCATATGAAACTTAATTTAATATGTCGAGAATTGAGCTTACCTATCTCACTCCAACATGTTCCTCCTTCACTTTTTCTTTAGTTAGTGGCAACATTATTCTTTCAGGTGCTCAGACTGCGAACCTTAGAGTCACCTTTGGTTCCCCTCTTTCTTTCATTCCCTTATATCCAGAGGATGGTTATGTCTCTCCTCCTTCACTTCATCACCCCATCCAGCTTCTCATACTCCAAACACCACCATCTCTTGCCTAAATTTTAGCAAAATCCTTCTAAATTATCTCTTTTCTTATTCTTGCTCCTTTCAGCATAGTCTCAATGCAGCTGGCTCAAAATACTTGATTAACTTCCCAATTTATTTAGAGTAAAAGGCAAGTTTTGATTATCACCTAAAAAGCCCTATGTGATCCATCTGCCCCCTGCCCAGCCCTCCCCCAACCCACTGTCCCCAGTTGTTCTCCAGCAGCTCTGGCCTCCTCCCTTTGAACTTGCCGATTCTCTTTTGTCTCTAGACCCTCACATTTGCCGTTTCCTCATTGATGGCATTCTCCAGATTTCTGCGTGGCTAGTTCCCTTGATCCATCAGATCTCCATTCAAAAATTACCTTCTCAATGTGCCCTCGTTAGTCATCCCACTTAATATTTTAATACTCTCCTCCTCATAGTCCAATTATTCTCTACTTAAATTCTTTCTTAAGCACGTAACAATACCTAACATACTAAATGTATTTACTTATTTGTTGTTCTGCTTGTCTATCTTCCCCACCAGAAGTAAAGGCTCCAGGAGGGCAGGGACTTTAGTGTTTTGTTGGCTGTGTTATCCCCATCATCTAGAAGCACAATGTAGGCACTCAGTAGCTAGTTGATGAATGATCTATTGAATGAGAGTGTGAATAACAAATGGTAAGGTAGTACCTGACTTGTTTGAGAAAGCCACTGGAAAGAAAAGCAAGAGACCCATTTTATTTCATCCAGTCTTTCATATATAAATTCATGACTCAAATAACATAGAAAGCTTCTACAGTTCCACAGATCTACAGATCAATGCTTTTCAGAAGTTTATGAGAAAAGAATCACTGCTTGTTAAAAACCCAGATTTCTTTGACCTGCCTCAAATTTTCTGACTCAGTAGGTCTGTGAATGGTCCACTGGAATTTGCATTTTTAACAAGCATTGCATTGATTTTGATACTACTACTGTAGGTCAGAAGTGATTTAAATCAAGTGACTTACATAAATGCAGAGTGGTGAGAAAATTCTTCATTATAGTTAACCTGCTGAGTGAAAGAAAATGGGTCTGGTGTAAATTGCTGGTACACATTCTTCTCAAGAGTTTTTAAAGTAGAACAGCAATTTGCAAAACATACCATAAAAACTCAGTTTGTATTCATCCTCAGGGGATGTAAAGATTTGGCCTTTAAAAGAAAGATCTATGCCAAGGCTTTCATAGGAAAGCAATTGTTTCTTTAAAACATTTATTTACAAGCTCTATGGAAAACTTTAGCTTACTGGCTAAAGAAATGTTCCTTGGTTCCCGGTGCCTAAGAAGAGCTAATACTAGTCAGATGCACTGCATTCCATTCTTAGAGAATAATTTTCTTATCCTGGATCAATGAAGAACTGGGCCTATGATAAATCATCATAATTGTGACACTCAGTTCTTCTCATTGCTACCTGACCTTTCATAGACTTCTGCCTCTAGCAAAGATATTTTGTTGTGTGTTTCATTCCGAGTTAATTACCTATCTCTGATAGATGGCATTGTAATAGATGTTGTCTCATCAGCATTCAGAATTATTCTCTAGCTTGAAGAGAAAGAGTAGGATAAAAATCTTCTAATTACACTCCACGTTCTCACTCATTAATTGACCTTCTTTCAAATATCCATAAATCCACTAATACGGTACACATTGCAGATAAATTAACAAATGTACATGTGTCTATCAAGAGAAATTTATCCAGTTGTAATCAGTTATGTTTATCACCAGTATTTGAGGGTTAGCTCCTACTAATGTTACAAAAAGAAAAGCAGATTTATTATTTTTATCTCTTTTTAAGTATTTTTTATTAAAACATGATTGTGGGGCACACAGTTGAATATCAATACATTTTGCCCAATTTTTAACCAGGTTATACTCATATGTATTCTTAGTACTGAGTTCTTTATAAGTCTTGGATGTTGATCCCTTATCAGATACATGGTTTGCCTTTTATTNTTTTTTATTAAAACATGATTGTGGGGCACACAGTTGAATATCAATACATTTTGCCCAATTTTTAACCAGGTTATACTCATATGTATTCTGAGTTCTTTATAAGTCTTGGATGTTGATCCCTTATCAGATACATGGTTTGCCTTTTATTTTGTTGATTGTTTCCTTTGCTTTGCGAAGCTTTTTAATTTGATCAACTTATTTATTTTCGTGTTTGTAGAGTGAGCATTTGATGTGACATCCAAGTAATCATTGCCAAGGCCAAAGGCAAGAAGCTTTCCTCTATGTTTTTCTTCTAGATTTATGACTTCAGGTCTTACATGTAGGTATTTTATCCATTTTGAGGTTTTTTTTGTGCATAGTGTTAGATACAGGTCCAATTTCATGAGATCATCTCTTCCTCCAAATTTCTAAGGTCAATATCCAATTCTCCAATAGTTCTCTTTCTTAATCTAGATCATTTCAAATACAAGAATAAAAGGAATTAAAGATTTACTGGGAGGGGCCTTGTACTAATTTGTGTCTTTGGCTAAAGCAGCTCTGACATTCTGAAATTATTAGCTTCAGATAGCTTATAGGAAAAAATGCAAGGTAAAGCATAAACTGGTTTAATATTTATCTTTTTTTTCAAGAGTGACTTTTGAAACCCAATACCAAGGGAATCTGCTTTGAGACTTAGGGTGTTTTAAGGTACAAAAGTGTCATTCTATTAACCAATAATTGAAGTTTTATCTTATTAGGGGAGTAAAATTGACAGACAAGAAAGGAAGGAAGGAAGGAAGGAAGGAAAGAAGGAAGGAAGGAAGGAAGGAAGAGAGAGAGAAAGAAAGAAAAAAACAAAGAAAAAAAGGTGTTCCCTGTCTCTCAGACTTGATAAAACTCCCAAAGAATAAGAAATAAAGTCAGTGGGCAGAGTAAACTTGACACTGCTGAGGTTGTCTATTCGGATACTTCTGTCTTGATCTCCCTGCTTAGCACAGGAGATAAGACAGGACTGAAGGGAGACAGATCAGCAAACTATTTCCTGTCACTTTGAGAAGACAGAAAATCAGCAGAAACCCACCGCATTTCAAAAAATCAACAAATCAAGACACTTACATGACTACTGCAGAATTTGAATGCAGAATTTACTCTATGTTTAAGTGAGATAGTAATATTGTCATTACATAAGAAATATCCATATATTTGTAAGACATACATACCAAAATATTTGGATATAAAATGCTAGTGATATACTTTTATACATTTTAGCTAAAAATGTATTATAACAAAATGTGAACCATTGTTAATCTAGGTATAAGGAGGTTCATTATACTCAATTCCTTCCTTTTTAAAGAAAGTTCAGTAAGTTGTCTACTAAAGCATAAAAAAGAATACGAGATAAGCCAGCAGTACTTAGGTCACAGTCTGTGATCTTCTGTATAGAAGTATTTTACTCCATATAAACATTCCTGTATGTTCCTTGTCATTTTGCAGCACTCATTTTCTTTGAGAAAACGGTTTGGTGCCCTGACAATGGTCTATGATGAGATGAAGTTTTTGTTTCCAATAAATGCTGACTTTTTTCATACCTTAATTCTTAGTCATACCGTTGAGAAAACGGTTTGGTGCCCTGACAATGGTCTATGATAAGATGAAGTTTTTGTTTCCAATAAATGCTGACTTTTTTCATACCTTAATTCTTAGTCATACCAAATTTTCCCTTCTCTGAATGCACTTGAAAATACATTCAATTTTTGCCAGAAAAAAATTATTCCCCAATTCTTCAGACATTTTCATTTTCTCCCATCTCTAGTTCATTGCAAAAATATCTGATCTATTTAACTAATTTATCTAATCTCTTGAACTCTAAAATCTATGAATATAAGAAAACATAATGCCAAGTTTATTTATAATTTGTAACTTATCTATAGAACAATATGAAATAAATGCTCCTATCTTTGTGATAAAAAGATACATGGAAGACTAGAGATGGTACAAGCTGTTGAATTAGAAAGAAAGGTCATTTGTATGGTGGTTTTATTTTAGGAATGCCCACATCCAAATTCATCCAAATCCATAACTACTAAATGCTATAAAATATCATTTTCAGATTAAAAATTGTGCAACTGTTTTCTAGGGCTGAAAAACTCAAGTGAGGAAAAGTGGATCAAATAAATCACAGAAGTTTGTGGATATACCTGCACATATTTACATCCAGAATATAAGTAATGCTTATGAGCATTAAACAACAGTAGACATTGCCTCTTCAGTACAATTCAAAGGAAAAACCATATTTTCTTTCTCTTACCCAGATTTCACATCATCATGTATACCTTTGGTGAGGGAATAACTGAAACTCATTAGAGATAAGATTCCAGAATAATTCAAAATTGTATTTATCAATTCTGAGCGATAGGAGAGATCTTCCAAGGTCAAGCAGAGGGAGAACTGTTCAGCAACACATATCATTTATAGCTTGGACCAGGCCTGCTAACAGCATGTTAGATATTGAGATGTTATTCAAGTCTTTTGAGATGCCTCCTGAAGAGGAGAAAAGCTTGCCTGTAGTGAACTGATAATTTTAAATATTTTATGCTTTAATACAAAGAACATAAACTTTAAAAAATATTCTAAAGTTTCAGAGGTTTTTTTTATAGACTTTCCCAAAAATATCCTTGAAAAATTGTGAAAGTCTATTTTTTTCCTCCACAGAGGAGAAAAACACCTGTCATTATGAATAGAATAATTTCTAATTCTCTCACCATCTATTTCTCTGAAAAATTTTCCAAAACAGAAGTTAATTATATCTCAAATAGTCAATGGAAAAATGAATTTCTCTCAAGCAAAATAAATGGTGGGTTTTAAAAATAAGTAGTATATGCCAATTTTAATGGATGCTTTTAAAATATTATCATAAATGATCTTAAAAGCAAATAGAAAAATAGACTGAAAGTTTCCACTCAGCTATTCATATCCACATGAATATATCCTGCCCATAAGTACTTAAAGTTTTTTTCCATCTAATCTTTTTATCTCTATAAATAATTAAGGTTACAATTGGGAGATGAAATGAAATGAGCAAATCTTTATTCCAAATGTGGGTTATTGAACATTTCTAAGTATTAAGTCCACTACATATTGCTATAATTGATTACAGTGGTGCTGCTCACAGTTAACACTTTGCCACCACTTCCATGCTTTGAGAGGTTTATCTCTCAGCTATAAACATTACTTTGTACTGAACTGCATGTGGAAGATGTCAGCTTTTGAGAAATAGATTTCATAAAATTGAGAAATAGAAGAATCAGACTAGACTTTTTTCTTACAACAGTATATCTTTGTGAAGTATCGAGTGTGTTTCAATAAAACATTTTTAAATTGCATGAGACATTTTTAAAGCAAGATTTGGCTATGACAATACTACATCAGAAAAAAATGTAAATGCAGAAATTACTTTCATTTTTATGGTCTCAGGGTGTAGTTTTCTATACTATTATGGTGTAAAGTAACGAGTGTGTTTCAATAAAACATTTTTAAATTGCATGAGACATTTTTAAAGCAAGATTTGGCTATGACAATACTACATCAGAAAAAAATGTAAATGCTGAAATTACTTTCATTTTTATGGTCTCAGGGTGTAGTTTTCTATACTATTATGGTGTAAAGTACAAGAGAATATATGATTTAAAGGCACAGTATATCTGAAACTATTTGAGACTTTTGGGTATCTTGTATTTAATTTGCTAGAGGAACTTTTCTTATTAATTGCCTATTGGCTCTTCATGCACACAAATATTCATTCAACAAATATTGAGGATCTAATATATCTTCAACATTGGTGATAAAATTCAATCCTGTGGAAGAGACGGATAAATAAACATTCAGCCACGTATATGTAAGTACCTCAGTAAATGCATGTTAAATGTATGTGTGTTTATGAAACAATGTATATAAGATGATATGGTAGCACATGCAAGTAGTTGTTAAAGTCTGATCCAAATACTTAAACATTAAATCTTTTTAAAGTTCTGCAGAAACTTTAAATAAAGTTTAGATATTTTGAAATTATCTGTATTTATAGACAATTAATTTCAGTAGTTTTTAATAGTTTATTGGGTTTATCTATAAATCAGAGGTGGCAAGATCAAGTGTCCACAAGAACTAGGGTAACAGAAATGTGTGACCCAAGACAAAGAAGAGAGTGTGGCTGAGGCTGGGGCTGGGAAGTATTGCTGAAGAGGTTCCTCAATAAACCTGGAAGTTTCCTATCCCACTTTTAGACACTCTTAGAATGAAAAATGTATAAAACATTGTGCCTGTCAGACTGAACAGATCCACATGGCAGATTTGGCCCAGCTATCCACACCAAGACCTGAATGGCTATTAAATACAATCCCATACATTTTTAGATATTTTACACTAAAAACACTATCCTCAATTTCAAATTTGAAACTTTTTTGTCATTAGTTGCTATCAGCAATTTATTTATAGAGAACTGTATCCACATGCCAGTTTAAGCTGAAAATTGAGTTTTTATGTAATTGTTGAGGGAGTTAAAAAGATGATGTTAAAAAGGAGAGATTTAACAGATCATATGGACATGGCATCATAAATAAGAGTAATTTATTGAAGTGTTCATGGTTGATGGTTCAGAAACTCAATTTAGTTATTTCACTCAAATCCACCAGATTCTGGGACCTGAATAGAATTAACCACACTCAAAATACACTGGTAAACAATTGCAAGAATAACTGCTATTTATTGATCACCTAATATGGAGATGGGCACTATGATAATTGTTTTAAAAACATTACTTTAAACAAATGTTTTAATTGTGGTTAAAATACACATAACATAAAAATAACCATCTTAATTTTTAAGTGTATAGTTCAGTAATGTTGAGCATTCACATCGTTGTGCTTCCAATCTCCAGAGCTCTTTCATTTTACAAAATGAAACTCTATACCATTAAATAATTCCCCATTCTCCCCTCCCCCCCCCCCCC